ACTGCTATTGACCCATCCGACTTTGCCGAAATAACCGAGTGGGAACTGAGCAATGCCCGCCTGAAAGGTAAGGCAACCGCCCCAGGCGAGGACGGCATTACTTACAGCGTCCTCCGCCACATGACTCAGGTACCAGGTATCCACTTTTACACCTGTATAGACTCAGCCTATCGCAAGGAATCCTCCCAAGCTCCTGGACTAAAAGCTTAATCATTCCTATACCTAAACCCAATGCTGACAAATACAGGCCATTTCCTTGACCTCCTGTCTGTGCAAAGTTCTTGAGAGAATAAGTCTGAACAGACTTATGTATCGCATAAATACTAAGTTCTCCCCCAGAGTGTATGGATTTCTCATAGGGCGTAGCAGTCAGCTCTGTTTTGCAGAGTACTTAACAAACTCAAACCCAGGCAGGTAGACTGTATTTCTTTATCTTAAATCTGCCTTTGATATTGCAAACAGATAAATTATCCTTGAGCAACTAGCTAGCTTTGATATTCATGGAAAACTGTTAATAAAGATCCAAATGTATCTATCGAATCGATCGGCTCAGGTTCTCATCAGGGGCATTAAGAGTACTCAAAAGTATCTGAACTCGCCACACCTCAGGGAGGCATACTTAGTCCCATGCTATTTAATATCCTAATGCATAGATTACCGGGCGATATACCATTTACAAGCAATGACTCCATTATTTGCTGTACCGATGATATTTGCATTAAATTTTCATCCGAAGAGAGAATGCAAGATTCTAGATATACTTTCAACAAGGGTTACTGAGTGTGTCTTGATAATCTCAACTGAAAAAAGGCACTTAACCCAAAGACAATTCTCTGCCAAAGTTTCATATAAATGACGTTGAGCTAGATCTTTGCCACCAGTACAAATACCTCGGGGTGATTGTCATCAGAAACTTGAAGAAAAGGCTGTGGGAGCCCCTGAAGCTACTTAGGACACTTGTTAACTAAGGCCATGGTATCAATGTCAATATTGCGAGACTCTTTTACTTGTCATACATAAGGTCAATCACAGATTATCAGGCATTGCACCTAGTATTGTTCAAGGAATCAGAGTTGACCATTCTTGGTGCCCTAGAACAACAAGGATTGTGAATATGAGAATTTAATTTAATTTACCTTCTGTTTATGAAAGAATATTATACATAAATACCACATTTAGTGTCAGATCAATTACAGAACCCCTCCATTGTACAGAATTCCATAGGCAACTAAAACACAGAATAGAGGAGCTAACTTTGAATGATAACACCGATTTATACTCAAATTCATGGGTACAGGTAACATGTAAACACTTGGCTCAACTGAACATTCCCATAACCAAGACCCTTCATGGACATTCTGTACCACAGTGGAAAATGTCGGACTTAAGTGTATATTTTACAACTGCCCCCCCCCCCTGCCATACTTAAACAGTGTGCACTTACAATTATAAATGAGCATCTAGAAACTCTGTCCAATGCATATGAATGCTATACTGACGGATCCTTGCAGTCTGGGAGCAGAGCAGGATGCGTTTTGTTGTGTATAAAAACAATATTTTGCAGCACCAGGATTGTAGGAGGGTTCATGACAGGGCTAGCACTACACAAACTGAGTTGGCAGGAATACTCATGGCCACCGAATTTCTATTGAATCAAGGCTCAGGGAACAAAGGTGCATGAAATGTTGCAAATGACATCAGAATAAACGTTTATTGTGCAAAAGAACGAGGCCATGATATACGTTTTGTGTGGATTCCATCGCATGTTGGAATTCCTTGGCATGATCATGCGGATCGCCTAGTAAAGTCAGCATGTGACAGGGGTCGATGTGGCCGAACAGGGCAGGACTCTCCACCAATATAAATTTCATAGGGGAGGTTATGTCTACGGAAGGTAATCTTGGAAATAGCGGCGTAGGACTTGCGGTGGCCTCTGGGAGGAATGGTGTAGCACTGTATTGCCATTGCATGATAGTCAACGAAACAGGCCAGCAGGTCGTTTTCAGTCTTACCAGTCCTTGCCGTATACAGGACAATCAGCCGGGGAGATGGTCGAAGCCGTGATCAAAGGAGAGGCAGAGGTTGGGAATCCAGAGAAGTCAAATTTAGTTGATGAAGGTGCAAGCCTTAATAGCCGTAATAAGGACACAAAATCTTAATTACTGACCATAATGAGCCTAAAATATGCGGGGAAGAGAATCGGTCTCCCCTTCAGGGTCCCCATAAGAGTTAGGGTTATAAACAAGGATACACCGTGCCCATGGCTCCCAGGAGCCGTTGACGACTAGCACAGAGCCAGCCTTTCATCCTTTCAGCTCTCACACTTTAGGAAGTGGACAGAGGAGAAGTAAAAGGTAATGTGAAGAAAAGACCATACAAAATTAGTTCAGGCGAGGGATGGTTTTATTTATTTACTTGAAAATTCTATCGCATCATTAGCGATAAGGTCATTAGCGGCGTATTCAAAATGCAACAATAGGGTGGGGCTTCATGTGATGCT